CAGCAGGATTTTTGTGAGCTACATGCCATGGCCAAAATCTTGGCAAAAGATTTGTTTGTTGTAAGGTTCAGAGGAACACCAGAAGAAGGTTTTGCTAATGTTACACCCCATACTCCACTGAGTCAAGGCTATGCTACAAAAAAGTGTGATGGCAGCAGAACAGAGAAAACAGACACACTTCAGCTCAGGAAGGCTGTATCTACACACACACACACACACACACACACACACACAACATTGTACATGTTGCTTTAGAGCACCTCTACTGAAGCCCACAAATACTAGAAACATGAACATAACTCTTAACTTGGTTTTGCTAGGGTGAGGTGCCAACAAAGGAACAGAAGACTTAGGCTGCCCAGCTTCTGGTAGTACTTACTTCACCATTAAAGGAAAACCACCTATTAAATGAACTAAGTTTAACAAAAACAGCATGGTATAACTCTCTGGTTATTCCAGCACAAGATTCCTCTGTTTTAGCCGAAGTAGGTAAAGCTTGAAAGACCTCCAGTCTAGAGCCAGCATTGCCCCTTAAAGGATCACACACACTGAATCGTTTTACCTGGTTGTTTTTGGTGCAATGCTCTGATCTTTATCCACTGTAGAAAGATCTACATTAGTTATCCCAACTTCTGTGGAAACTTTCACTTTCAGCTGCAACAAAACATGATAGAAAATTATTCAGAGTACTCTACATATACTACCCATGACCAAGTTCACTGCAAAAGCTTTAGCTCTTCTGTCCCCTTCTCCAGACAGGGTCTTAGTCTAAACCAAAGACAGAACCTAACCTGAACAGAAGGATCTACAGCAATTTACATCCTGGCAGAACTCCTGCATCAGCCACTAATCCTAACCCATTCCCTTCATCCCTGTACAAGCAGCCAGCTCTGAAGACACCAGTTTCTCAGTCACATTGAAGTCAGCTGCCCTTCGAAGAACTGTTTTTACTGCAACTGTCAAACTATCTGGATCCAACTAGTTTTCCCTTTAAACTAGCAGAAACTAGCTATTAAAGATTACATCATACAACTTAAAACTGCATGTGTATATGTACTTCTGCTTACTGGATAGCAATCTGAGATGAGAGAGGTCTCCGGACAGCAACCAGCTATGTCTTTGTTGGCTCCTAAAGCCTAACAGGTTTCTGCTGATTTTATTACCAGCAGCCAAAGCATTCCTG